GTCCCTAATGAAAATCGTTCTATACCAGAGTGGTGTGAGATAAGTTTTCAAAAATTACTGGGACGATATAATCGAATATTTTCGGATGTACCTGGTTGCATCATAGGTTATGAACATTCAATAAGATTGAATAATCCAGAACCATTCTTCGTCAAACCGTACCCCATTCCAATGGCTCATCGTGCTGCAGTAGATCAAACCATTTCCCAAATGATCCAATGGAAAATAATAGAGAGGGCCACAACACAATATGTATCCCCCATTATGACCACTGTCAAACGTGATGGTAGTGTGAGGATCTGTCTTGATGCTAGGCGATTGAATTCAGTCATGGAACCGGATTATGAACTTCCTAAACCTATTGATGAAATCACTAAATCCCTGGCTGGCAAGAAAGTGTACTCAAAATTAGATCTTACACATTCCTATTGGCAGATACCCCTGAAAAAATCTGACAGGAAGTATACTGGGTTCATGGTGGGTACTGCCACTTATCAGTTCTGCCGGCTCCCATTTGGCGTGAAAACAGCAGTTGCAGCTTTCACTAGGTGCATCAGCTCCATTTTCGGGAGCTCATATGACTTCCTCATCCCATATGTTGATGATTTACTCATCGTGTCCAAAAATTATGAGGAACATTTAGGGCACTTGGCACAGGTTTTTGACAGGTTACAGCAGGTTGGGTTTACCGTCAAGATCAGCAAATGTGCATTTTTTTCTGAGAAATTGCACTTTTTGGGCTATGTCATCAATTCCAGTGGCGTGCTTCCAGATGAGGACAGGGTTCAGGCAGTCGTAGATTTTCCTCGACCAAATAATGTAAAGGAGCTGCAGCGTTTCATTGGTGTCTGCAATTATGATAGGCAGTTTTGTCCGAACTTTTCCACCATTCTAGCCCCACTCACAGAGCTCTTACGCAAGGGAACTTCATGGAAGTGGGACACAACTAGAGAAGCTGCTTTCCAACAAGTAAAAAAGCTCCTTAAGGAAACTACCTTGCTGTATTATCCTGATCCAAACCTTCAATGGCATGTCCAGACGGATGCCAGCGATGTGGGACTTGGTGCTCAATTGTTCCAGGTGGTAGATGGAATGCGCCAGGTAGTGGCATGGAGTAGTCGTCTGCTTTTAGATAGGGAAAAAAGATATAGCTCAAATGAAAAGGAGGTCCTTGCGGTGGTATTTGCTTTAAACAAGTGGCGCACCTACTTGTTGGGAAGGGATTTTGTCGTTCATACGGACAACAAGGCTATTGTCTATTTACAAACAGCACGCCTTCTTTCTCCCCGCATCACCAGGTGGGCCCTGGCCCTCCAGGAATTTTCTTTCCAGGTGGTCCATGTTCCTGGGAAGCAAAATATCGTTGCTGATGGACTATCCCGTGCGCCAGGCTCCAGGCTTCCAACCCCCATGGATAGGTGCTTCCGGATTTCCTCTATCTCCCTCCGGTTGCCGAATGAATTTCTTGAGTTGCTCAAAGACATTTCGAATCTTCAGCAGGATGATGCCAAGCTTAACCAAATCATTATTTCTCTACCGGAGTCGGAAAAATTACAGTTGTCATTTGTAATGTCTGATTCCATACTATATAAAAAATCCCCAAGCGGTTCATGGTTGTTGTGCATCCCCCAAGCTTTGGTTGACAGGGTTATCACTGTTTTCCACTCAGTGCTAGGACATTGGGGAGTTTTCAAGACGTATGCAGCGTTGCGTAATGAGGTCTGGTGGACAAACATGCATCGCAGGGTCAAGCGGAATGTGTTGGGTTGTGAGGTATGTCAGAAAAGCAAGTCTGCCACAATGCCAAAACCACCCCAAATGCAAATAATTCCGACCAATAAGGATGATATTGTTGCCATGGACATATATGGCCCATTGATTCGCAGTAGAGGTGGTGTGTGTTATATCCTTGTCGTATTGAACTTGTTCACCAAGCACGTCACGCTGTACCCACTGAAAAAGTCCACTTCTAGGGCAATGCTTAACCGGCTCACCAAAGATTACTTCCCCACGCATGGGCTGGTTCGACGGGTTTTGCATGACAATGCCACCTACTATACCTCTCGACTGTGGAAGGAAACCCTCCAAGGACTAGGAATCCAAATCGTTTATTCATCTGTCCGTCACCCTGAGTGCAACAGCTCGGAACGTGTCATGAAAGAGTTGGGGCGACTTTTTCGCTGCTTCTGTAGCGACAATCACTCCAGGTGGGCGTGGGAAATTCCACGTTTCTCCCAGTTCTTGAACTCGGTCGTGCACGAGTCCACTGGCTTCGCACCGGATGAATTGCAGTTCGGTAAGGAGCGCCTGCGGCTTTTGGCAAATACTGTTCCTCGCCCGCCAGACGGTGACGCCATGGGCCCCCTTCCAGCCGAAAAGCTCGTATTGGCCGAAGCTACCCTTAGAGGCAGAGCCGCGCGGAGGGCTGCTGCAAATCCAGGACGGGGTGCCGTTCTTTTCGAGGTCGGTGCGCTGGTGTTGCTCAAGGCAAATAATGTATTCCTCTTACTTTTTGAAGGTCCATATCGCATCAAAAAGAAAGTAAGTGATGCGACTTATGTGCTACAAGAACTCGATACTGACAAAGAGAGAGGCACTTTCCACGCGTCACACTTGCGCCCCTTTCGCCAGTCAGTTGCGGTTGCGGATGCGCCTAACGCATAACCATCCCTCAATCAGGCAAAGCCAAATTTTTGAAATACGTTACGCGCAAAAAAAAAGGGGGGTGTAGATGTGGCAAAACAGGTCTCTGTGCCACGATTTCGTGCATATTTCGCGCGCCTCGGAGAAGGACGCTTCCTCGAGTGCTTACAGTCCTCCCTTGATCCCTTCACCCGTCGGAAGATGGCGCACCCGGTACCGTTTCGGTAGATAATTAAAACTAATATTTTGGTAGGAACCACTTTTTTGTTCTTTTGTTTTATCAGGAATCCTTATCGCAGTGAGTGAATGCATCAGACTAGCTTCTTCTATTTTAAACCACCAAAGAAGTAACATATATGCAATACTGATAATTTTTGATTTTGCACTCTGCTATTTTAGAGAGCCTATGTTGTGCATTTAAACTCTTCAATAAGTGTTCAAAGTGTCGGCTGGTCTCATTTACAGGTAAGGAAAACTAATATTGCCATTATTACCATATTTGTCCAATTTTGCTGTGAAATACCGCCATTATACGGGGTCGTGTTTTACATGGCTAACATGGCTTGTCAGAGTGATCCGGACACTCCGAGCGGGTGGTTGGGGAACATTTTTTTTGACGTAGGTGAACGTGTTTTTTATATCTTTGTTAAAAATGTATTGTCTTGGAAATGTTCGTGAAGTCTGTTTCTTTTGTGGCCGCTTTACCCGCCTGTTAATATTTTGTGATATACCTTCGCTATAGTGTTGTTCATTTACAGGGTGTTAAAACACAAATTGTCTGCTGCGTACACCAAATAAAGTTTATACAAATCTGGGAACGTCTCGAGTACTCTCTTATTGAGGACACCTGTAACCCAAAAGCACCCCTGAGATTAACGAGTTTCAACTCAATTTTAATAGTGGGCTATGGATTTTTCATATAAAAAAATTCCAATTGAAGAATATTTCAATTGATTCTTCCATGAAAAGGACAAAAACAATCCCAACACTAGTTAATTAATATAACACAAAAATTAGGTACCTGATAGCAACAAATGAATGGTAATAAAAAGTTCATATTCTAGAATAAGCACCTGATTTAATATTCACTAAGACAATTCAATTTCGGAATTAATCAGTAACTTATTCATTAAATTGTTCAAATTGATATCCACTTTCCCTCACACGCTTTCTCAATACGTCTTAGGATGTCTTTGTAATTCCTGGAAAACTGCCTCTGTTGTTGCACGAAGTTCATCAAGATATTTGTGACTCTTACTGTATCAAGACGTATTGAGAAAATGTCTCAATTGTGTTATGGAAAATGGACATCAATTTGAACAATTCAGTGAATAAGTTATTGAATAATTCCGAAATTCAATTGTATTTGTAAATATTCAATCTGGTGCTTATTCTACATTATGAACTTTTTACTACTATTTATTTGTTGCTACCAGGTACATAATTTTTGTGTTTTCTCAGTTAATTAGTGTTGGTATTGTTTTTGTCCTCTTTATGGAAAAATCAAAATGAATATTTCTTCTATTGGAACTTTTTTATAAGAAAAATCCATAGATCACAATTAAAATTCAATGTTTCAGTGATTTCAGAGCATTTTTGAAAATTTCATATACATACATTATAAATCATTTTGAAGAGAAAAAAATGAGGAATTTTATGAGCTTATAAAATACAGGGTGTTCCATTTTAAAAACCATGAGTTTGAGTCGTATCTCCAAAACCATAACCCGAAAAAAATTTTGAGTGCGCCACTGGATTCTGCGTAAACTTTCATATGGGATGAGATTCAAATTTGACATTTTTGCTGAGAGACTTCGTAGATATAGAGGGGGTCCAAAAAGTATAAATTTTCAAAATCGCCCTGTATCTCATAAACGGAAACAGTTATGCAAAATCTGATTAGGCCATCGTGAGTTTCACAAAAAAGTGGCACACGATCGCGAAACCCACAAGGTTCTATCTCGAAAGATAACTGAGATATCTCCCAAAAGTATCGAAAACTGGACACACTGTACATTCTACAAAAGCTAATTATAAAATCGACCTAACAATTTAGACTCAATCGTGATCGCAACAGATCGACCTGTCAATTAGTGCCAAATTGTCAGATCGATGTTACAGTTATCTCAATCGCGCCGAACATTCGAACTTTTTTTTCATTCGATATACCTTACTAACTCAGACATTTTCCATCAGTGATCTACTTGTCAGTTATTTTCGTAAAGTTCATTTCGTCAGGAAGAGAAATTCATCCGATGAAGAAAGATCTTGTGTTTCTACTTTTGATGAATTTAGTTTCTGATTCTGAACACGATCTTTGGTTAATCGAGGACAACCAAACTGAATTTATGTTTCAGTTATTGATTGAAGATCTCAAAGAAGAATATTCTAGCATCAAGTCATCACAAGATACCCAAATTCAATACCTCCAATTAGAAATGGCCATCCTAACTAAGCAATTTCTGAAAATCAGAAGAAATCTTCAAACAGATTTGAAAACAGATGAAGAACAAATAAAAATGTTGAGTGACGTTTCCTGCAAAACTATTCAATATTTGGAGAGTGTAGCTCAAAAGGGCCAGCGCATTTTAAGTCTGGGGCAAACGTGCAAAAAGTTCGAAACTGAAAGAGAAAAAATTATCAAGTGGATGCCACTATCCAACGAATATTTGGTTAGTCCTGTGGAAGGTCTCCAGGTTTCATCCTCAGAAAAAACTAGGAAAGATAGCCTGAAAGATTCTGTCGAACCTATGGATCCGTTACAACCTAGGTCACCAGGTAGGTCGATATATACATAGGAATACATGGTGGCCCAACAACCAGAGCATTCTCCGGTGATACAATTATGAAAAAACGCTCGTACTGGTTGCTTTTATTTTGACGAGGAACTCTTTTATCTCGAAAAATCAATCAGCTATACAGGGTGTCCGGAAAGGTCATGTCGTAAATATTTCATATAGAAAACATGTCTATCGGGCAAAAATAATTCAATGGAACCTAAGAAGTGTGAACTCTAACGAAATCAAGCAGATAATACATGAAGAGAACGCAGACGTAATATTAATACAAGAAACTTTTTTGAAACCACACCACAACTTCAAGGAGAATGGCTACAACATAATCAGGGAAACAAACCAACAGGCAAAAATGACATAGCGATCATGTACAAAAAAATGAAATTCAGGTATAACTTTCAAACGGTTGCCATAGTATCCATGATATTCGGGCAGGTAAATAAACTTATACAAATGCTCGTCTCCATACTTGAACGGCTTTTTAGTGAATATGTGTTATACAGGATGGGACGAATTTTTTCCGATTAATTAAGGCATTTTTCACACAAGTGACGAATTTCACATTTTGCTTGCACCGTTTGGTTCCTTCATCTTTTAACTAAAAAAATAGTATATATTATTTTGATCGACATCTTGCACCATCCTAAAGCGAAGAAGTAATAAAAGCTCCATTTAGCTATTTAATGACATCAGTGAAGACAAACAGATAATCAAAAAAGTTTTTCTATATGTGCTACTTGAACTTCAGCGCATTTTCTGAAGATGAAGAAAAAATTCAAGTAGCTTAAGATCCGGTGACCGAGCAGGCCATGAAAAAGAAAGATGGGGAAATGTGACGTTCAAATGATCTCTTACAGCTTTGTAGGAATAAGGAGGCGCACCATCGTGGATCAACCACATATCACCTCGAATATTCAAAAGAACCTCTTCTAACAACGGATTTGGATGTTCTTGCGAAAAAGTTGAATATTCATTCACATTTGAGGTTTCAGCAATGTATAAGATACATGATTGAGTAGTTGCCAGTCAGTCATATCAATACAAAGATAATAAATGGAGTTTTTGAATGCGATTTCCTCTAGATCGGTACAAGATATCGATGGATTAGAAAATATGGCAAAAACTAGTCAGCCTCATATGGGTTCCAGGACACTCTGGTATCCCGGGGAACGAGGAGGCGGACAGACTAGCCAAGATCGGTTCAGGAACGACACCCATTGGACCAGAACCGATATTGGGAATACCCAATAGTACGCCTATGTCCTTCATGAAGGAAATGCTACAGAGGCAGTTCCTTGAAACATGGCGGGACACACCAGGAATGAGACAATCAAAGCTCCATATGAAGGAACCTTCAAAAAGGCTCACGAGAGAGATCCTGTCACTTAATAGAAGGGATCTCGAGATGGTAGTCGGGCTCTTAACTGGGCACAACCACCTCAACAGGCACCTAGAACTCATAGAAATCAAAGATTATTCCATCTGCAGATGGTGCTTGGAGGATGATGAAACATCATCACACATACTCACTGAATGCCTCGCGCTGGTGCATCACAGGAAAGCTGCCTTTGGGAGCATTGTACTGCACCCAAAGGATGTGAAAGCGACTCAGCTGAGGAAGCTGCTGAATTTCGTCAAAGAAATCGGCATACCCAGCTGATTCACAGGACAAGTGGGCGCACAATGGGCCCGACTGAAGAGGCCTGAGTGCAGGGGTCTACGCACCCGCCCACCTGTGCAGAGAAGAAGAAGAAGAAGAAGATATTGATGGAAATGAAGTATATCATTTCTGTTGGAAAAATATGAAGAGATCGAACGGTGGAAGTAAAATGTTCAATTTGTCACTCCTTTCACTGAAAAGCCGTTCACGTATGGAGAGGTGCATTAAGAACTAACATTATTTCGGCTCATTCTATCAGCCATATCATTTAAGACATGACCTTTCCGGACACCTTGTATATCTGAAGCTGTTCGAGAAGACTCCACCAGCATTGGCATTGTTGAATTCTCATCATAATCCCTAACCCTGACTTTTCCGCTCTAATTGAATATCGGATCCAACAATTTCACAATAAAATTGCTAAAAATTGGTCATGTACTGTTCATTAATCTTCTAGAAATTTCTTCACGATGAATATCGCTTTGTTTTATACATCTTTGATGGAACCACGTTGATGAAACTAAGATTTTAGATAAAATTCAGCGATTTCAAAAATTTATTTCTTCATCAAAGTTACTTTGTCATTCAGTTAGTTGAAGATGAAGTATAATATTCTACTAGGGAATAATGATTTTAACCCACTCAGGGGATTACAGCACTTGCCTCTAGCGGCGAGTATCTACTGCAATTTCCATCTTCGTGAGAAATGTCTGCTGAATATAATAGTATAAGTAGGCTTGAGCTATGCTCCTTGAGTGAATCAATATCCAAATATAATGTTATTAAAATTTGTTGTTCATACCATATTTCTCAATACACCTATCCAAATACACACTTGTTCTTTTCCAGAACTGAAAGCAACGAGATTGACGAAATCAACTCTGAAATCTAAAGAAAGACCAAAAACGACAATCCCAAAAAGCATTTCATCACCATCCATACCACTGGAAACGCCTACTCCAGAACTCCAGAAAATAACCACAATCCAGAACATCACCCTCCAAACCAGAACCTTTGATGACTCTTCTTCATCCTCATCTTCTGCCACAACGGAACAGATTGACTACGATGAGGAGAAACCGAAAAGTCTGTTGGACAGATGTTTCGTCTCTTTGCAAGGCTTGGAAGGTTTCTGGTTCACCTGTAACAAGGTTCAAGTCGACTATCTGGAGGTCCAGGAAGAGAAGAGAGTTTTGGCGAAGGAGAATAAGCAGCTGAGAGGAACAATCAGAGCGGTCTTGGAGGCAGCCGCCATGTCGAATTCGATACCGAACAGTAGAGTTTCAACCAGACTTCCTTCTAGGAGGAGCGCCTATTCAGCACCGTTCAGAAGAATGGTACTCGACTAGGAAAGTGTCTATTCGCACATCCTGATCCGGAATCTGAATGAAATCTAGTTGAACATAAATTATAATTATTCCATGTATTATTTGTCATCTACAACTACAATGTGAGGTGGAAACCTAGAAACGTTAGTGAGATGATTTATCACGTTTTACATTCTACTATACTACCTGATTGTATAGAAAAAATGTTTTTTGTTGAACCTACGTAAGAGTCCACCGTTGTATATTTCTATATTGTAATCAATCCCACGTGGAATTCAAATTTTCATTGCTAGCTTGATAATTATTTGAACAAGGTGGCCAATAATAATACACGAAAAAAAAAAGAATTGTTGCATCAACAAACTTTTTTTGGGCAATTTCTTGTTGTTAAAAATCAACAAAAGTAATATACACTCTTATATCAGTGATTTATTCGAATAGACAAGATATTTTAATTGAAATGTTTGGTTAGGTACTTAAACAAAATTCATAGTTGAAAAATATGAAAAATATTTTGTTGATTTGTCAGTAAATCATATGTTTCCTGTCTATTCGATGAAATTTGATTATTATTGACCAAAATGTAACAAAGGACATTGAATTCTGTAATGTATACACCATCAGATGTCCGAATAATTTTGTGAATTTAACAAAACAAAAATTGAAATTCTCATTATTTCAAATTTTTTGGGATTTTCTCTCCTCGTTTCTATAAAATTAAAATATGAATATTATTTCAATATACGCGTAGAAAGGACAAATCAGATGATTTCCCCAAAATGTCACTGAGTTTAAAGAATGTGTTTGTGAAAAGTTTCATGCAAGTAGAACCAAGAGACCTCTTTCAGTAAGGACGATGGAACATAAGTATAATCAATATAAAGAAAAGACACATCGATGAATCGACACTAGCTGAACATATCCTTACTGAAGACGGAAAACATATGGCGGAGAGAAATGATATTGAAATCATTGGAAAAGAAGATAACAACCAGAAGAGAAAAATCAAGAAATCTGCTTGCATTCTTCTGAACGGAGACAATAGCATTGCTTCTTGTTCAGTTGATATAGACAGAAACGAAAACGAGAGCAGATTCGGTCCCGAAACGTCCAAAGATAAGTGAAAATTTGATATTTTTTCTGTATACCTTTGTTTCTCTCCTCCAAACTTTTTTCAATACAAATTGTCACTGACAAGCTAGTGAATTTTTCTTTTAGGCTCTCTGCTCTGAGTATGTTTCTGCAGCTTTATATTAAAATCAGGACATCATCGACACACACACATCGGACACGCAGAAGTAATTTACCACAATTAACACTTTATAGAAATGCACATCAAATTATCTGACATATGAATTCGCAGAATACAGTTAATTATCAACGAATTAAATAATGATGATGAGAAAGTAATGTCGGAATACATCATTCATCATGATGTCTTGTGACTGGCTGGATCGTGATGAATGTATAATCTTGAATTATCTCACGAAATTTTAGTGAATGTTTAGAATACATAAACCTCGTGAATTGAAAGAATTCTTACCTTCCCATTCATTTGAATGCAGCAACAAATAAAAATAAATCAACATATTGGAATTTACTGTTCTGCTGAAATTTTACAGATTGTGAATTGAATACCGCATTTATTTCAACAAGAACTGTCCATATATACAGGGGAACTGAGCTTCTTGAGAAAAAAACTCACGGAGACAAAATATTAGACTTATTCTAGAAAGTTCACTTCGAAAAAGTTTTGTTTTCGGCAAATAGATGTTGATATTGAAAATATTCAATTTTTTTCATACCCTTGTGTACAGGGTGTATCTTAAAAACATGACGTCCTTGCTAGGGTAGTTTCAACATTGCAAAATAAGTTTGGTTGCTCAGTAAACCAATGTCGTGACGGCATCCGTTTTCAAGATACAAGGTGTTGGAAAAATGTTTTTTATACACAATTTTCACGATTTGTATGTGTATGGATGTGTTTTGAAAGCTGGTACATCGCAGGCAAAAATTTGTTTTTATGCTTGTCTCCCATAGATGGCGCTAATTACACGGTTGGTACTGGGTAATTATGAACATAACTTTTTTGAGGTTAGATTTTTCAATCCAAGTTTGATGTGAACTTTTATATACGTACGTTTATAATATCTCATACACGTGCCAATATCAAGTGTGTCTCGCTTCAAGAATGATAAATCACGAATAGAAGGATTGAAATAATCTTTTATTTCAGAATGTACTACCCCAAAAGCTCTATGAATTAAATTGAATTTATCAGATAATGATGGCCATAGTATATATTCATAAAAATAGGGCAACTCGACAACTATATTCATATTAGATGAGGGATATTCACTGGCGAATAAACAATTTCATATCGTCTTTTGTTTTCAAGTTATAAAAAAAAAGTTAATTTTTCGATTCTTAAACTTAAACAGACAAACAATCTCCAAAGACTGCAAGAAAATATACTGATGCTTGATGGTATATCTCTAATATTTTCAGCAAGAAAGATATGGATCACAATAAAAAATTTTTCAACTTCAATTTCATTAATTTTTAGTTAACTCAGAGGTTCGAATCTAAGTATTTGATGTGTTCCTCCATTGAATGACCACTCCACCGGTTAAATCAACTCCTTAGATTTGGATATAGGGTGAAACGAAAAATCAAAAATATCCAAATTTGTCATTGAATTATCAACACCCTTTACATTATGAGATATTGCGCTCAAATTTTGTATGGAGGTATTTCAGCAATGCCTGAATCGAATATGCGAGTCATCGTTCGAAAAAAATTGCCTAATAGTCGTTTTTGAATTTTAACCCCTTCAAAAAAAAAAAGTAGGGTATTGAAAATCTGAATATTCCAGATTTGTTCACATTTTCGAGTAGTTAGGGCAAACTAGTTTCTCTGTCATAATGACAAAATCACGCGGCTTGTGGGATTTTCCATACATGAATCAAATTGTCGCAGGTAATATCCCGAGACCATGACAAATAGCCGACTATTATTTTCGTCATAATTCTATCGAGAGTACCTTGTATTTTGACAATTTGATGAGACCATATGAACATTAATAATCTGAATAACTCCCGAGAGCTTTAGCTCGAGGAAGTTATTCTATGATTATTTATGTTCATATGGTCGAATTGAATTGTCCCAAAATACAAGTTACTCAAGATGAATTAACGGAAATAATAGTCTCCATTTGTCATGGTCGAGTGATATTCAGGAAGATTATTTCATGAACAGTGCAAAAATACTGGTTTATATGAGTTTCAACATTTTATTCAAGTTACAATTCTGCAGATACTATTTGAATAAAAATTCTTCTGAAGGCCGGCTGGGGTATTCTCATCATGTCTACGTACAATTGTATTCAATTCATCTAAAGTTAAAGCAAAGAAAGAATATTAACGTTATTGATAGCGTTAATATTCTTTGATTAGAGCTTCTGTACTTTCCTTTATTGTTTGAGGAAAATACTGTAGGCTTCGCCTTTTTGCATTATGCGCAACCCTGGCATCTTTGAATTCGATATATTCAAATGGATTTGTCTTACGTTTATGTTCATTGAAGTAACCTTCCTGTATATATAGTTTTCCATATCAATTTCAACTGTGTATTCCTAATATTCCTCACCATTTCCCTCACCCAATGTTTTAGGATTTGGGCAATCACGAGAGATGGGGTAGTCGCACAAAATTTATAGTTTTTCTGTTGGCAAAAAAACAAGAATTGTTCCAGACAAACTCTTTACTTTCCTTGTTATTTTCTGATATCAATTCGCTTACATAATTACGAATTTCCGTTGTGGAAGTTGACCCAAAACGGGACATTTCAATTTTCGAGTGACTAATAGGTATGTCAAAGTTTGACAACCATAGCACTTTTATGCTGACGAACAGAATAGCCGCTCATATTGTTTGTTTACCTAAATAGCCGCTGATATCGCATATCATGTGACTTCAATCAAGACATTTCATAGGTCCAGCCGGGTGTGAATGAAATAATCAGTGTAATTTCATGCTCCTTACCCAAGGAGAATGGCAAAATTTCCAGAAATTTGTTTAGTTGCTATTTCAACGATACCAAATACAGGCTTTCAATTCGTAGAAATTGTTAGGAGTGGAATTTTCACTATAATAAAGAAGTGTAAACAGTGTATGTTGAAGTTGATTGCCGCGAAGGGTATCGCGATACGTCTTTCTCCTTATACTTTTTAGCAGTTATAAGGTGATTCCTAGAAGCGTGACAAACATCGAGCCTACTTTTTTCATCCACTTAATTTTCAGACACATATCCTGTGAATGTTGTGTCAGAGACTTACCTTGATCTGGAAGATAATATTTTCGAAGTGGAAATCAGTTAGGGTTGGGCTGAATAAAATGAAAACACTTTTTAATTGATGACTTTATTGCTAGCATTCACAAGTTAGTTTATCTCATGTAGGAATCGTAGTTTCTCATATTGTTTGGATATGAGAAATGAAAAAATGAATCACAAATTCATGTAAGGCTATACTAAAATAAAATTACTGGACAAATTCACAGCAGTATTTCTTCTGATGACGCACAATGAAACATTTTCATTATTACTTTTCTAGGGAGGAAACTTACTCATCTACGATATAGAATTCAAGAATGTTTTTCAAAGAAATTCAGATATTAATGAATGACTGACTCTATCATTTTATGAGATGATCAACAATATACAGGTTGTCCCGTGACTCGATGGCCATAGCTCAAGGGCATATTCGAATTCCTTGAACAATTTCTAGTCGAAAGTACCTCAAAAACTTTTGCGTTAAACTCAATAGCTGAGGAGTTATGAGCAATTGAATACCAACTTTGCTCACCATGCAGTTCTTTGGCCACCGAGGTCACCTGACCACTATTTTGCTTGGGGACCCATGAAAAGTTTGGTGTATTCAAATAAACTGGAAACCAGAGATGAGCTAATTCAGAATATGACTATACTATATAACGAGTGCATGAAATACACTTTCCAACGAG